TTCATTCAAGTCATGACAAACACTACATCACCTGTCAGAAAGTCCCCTATACTTCATTCAAGTCATGACAAACACCACATCACCTGTCAGAAAGTCCCCTATACTTCATTCAAGTCATGACAAACACTACATCACCTGTCAGAAAGTCCCCTATACTTCACTCAAGTCATGACAAACACTACATCACCTGTCAGAAAGTCCCCTATACTTCACTCAAGTCATGACAAACACTACATCACCTGTCAGAAAGTCCCCTATACTTCACTCAGGTCATGACGACAAATGCTACATTACCAGTACATTAACACCTTCATCCTATAATGAGCCAAGATTAATTCTCCATTAGTGACATCCACCTTTACCCTGTCAGAGATCTAGAGTAGTCACTAGCACAGCTATTTTGAAGAAGCCTTTTCCTGACAACTTCCTGGATAATCGCTTTCTAATTTTCTAAGCAAAATATCCATCAACCAACCATTCAAATGGTTAAGAAAGAAAATTAAGACTAGAAAGTCATTTGTTTCTTCAACAAACCCTGCTTATGGACAGCAGGCTGAGAAATCACCTTTCATTACACACCACTGTTTTATTGGGTGAAAAGATGGCAAAGACTGTCATAATCCCTTGTTTAAGCACTAATAGGTGTTAGTCAAAATCAATATTCACACAGTCCTCCTTACTTTACACTAATTTCCATAGGAGTGATTAAGCTGATAGCTTCATGTCTATCCTTATGTACACCAAGCCATAATATAAGGAACTTCATTTCCTGGCTTTACCACAGTGCTAAAAATAAACATTAACCTATATCCAAAATGACAAGACCTTATACAAAGATTCGTCCTTATTGGTACAAACTGAAAAGATGAACTGTTAAATATTTCAGGTCTCAGCGTTACGACAAATCTGGCAGTCACCCTGTACAGTCATCTGGCAGTCACCCTGTACAGTCATCTGGCAGCCACCCTGTACAGTCATCTGACAGTCACCCTGTACAGTCATCTGACAGTCACCCTGTACAGTCATCTGGCAGTCACTGTACAGTCATCTGACAGTCACCCTGTACAGTCATCTGACAGTCACCCTGTACAGTCATCTGGCAGTCACCCTGTACAGTCATCTGACAGTCACTCTGTACAGTCATCTGGCAGTCACTGTACAGTCATCTGGCAGTCACCCTGTACAGTCATCTGACAGTCACTGTACAGTCATCTGGCAGTCACCCTGTACAGTCATCTGGCAGTCACTCTGTACAGTCATCTGGCAGTCACTGTACAGTCATCTGACAGTCACCCTGTACAGTCATCTGGCAGTCACTGTACAGTCATCTGGCAGTCACCCTGTACAGTCATCTGGCAGTCACCCTGTACAGTCATCTGGCAGTCACCCTGTACAGTCATCTGACAGTCACCCTGTACAGTCATCTGACAGTCACCCTGTACAGTCATCTGGCAGTCACCCTGTACAGTCATCTGGCAGCCACCCTGTACAGTCATCTGGCAGTCACCCTGTACAGTCATCTGGCAGTCACTCTGTACAGTCATCTGGCAGACACCCTGTACAGTTATCTGGCAGTCACCCTGTACAGTCATCTGACAGTCACTGTACAGTCATCTGGCAGTCACCCTGTACAGTCATCTGGCAGTCACTCTGTACAGTCATCTGGCAGTCACTGTACAGTCATCTGACAGTCACCCTGTACAGTCATCTGGCAGTCACCCTGTACAGTCATCTGGCAGTCACCCTGTACAGTCATCTGGCAGTCACCCTGTACAGTCATCTGGCAGTCACCCTGTACAGTCATCTGACAGTCACCCTGTACAGTCATCTGACAGTCACCCTGTACAGTCATCTGGCAGTCACCCTGTACAGTCATCTGGCAGCCACCCTGTACAGTCATCTGGCAGTCACCCTGTACAGTCATCTGGCAGTCACTCTGTACAGTCATCTGGCAGACACCCTGTACAGTTATCTGGCAGTCACCCTGTACAGTCATCTGGCAGTCACCCTGTACAGTCATCTGGCAGTCACTCTGTACAGTCATCTGGCAGTCACTGTACAGTCATCTGACAGTCACCCTGTACAGTCATCTGGCAGTCACCCTGTACAGTCATCTGGCAGTCACCCTGTACAGTCATCTGGCAGTCACTCTGTACAGTAATCTGGCAGTCACTGTACAGTCATCTGGCAGTCACCCTGTACAGTCATCTGGCAGCCACCCTGTACAGTCATCTGGCAGTCACCCTGTACAGTCATCTGGCAGTCACTGTACAGTCATCTGGCAGTCACTGTACAGTCATCTGGCAGTCACCCTGTACAGTCATCTGACAGTCACTGTACAGTCATCTGGCAGTCACCCTGTACAGTCATCTGGCAGTCACTCTGTACAGTCATCTGGCAGTCACTGTACAGTCATCTGACAGTCACCCTGTACAGTCATCTGGCAGTCACTGTACAGTCATCTGGCAGTCACCCTGTACAGTCATCTGGCAGTCACCCTGTACAGTCATCTGGCAGTCACCCTGTACAGTCATCTGACAGTCACCCTGTACAGTCATCTGACAGTCACCCTGTACAGTCATCTGGCAGTCACCCTGTACAGTCATCTGGCAGCCACCCTGTACAGTCATCTGGCAGTCACCCTGTACAGTCATCTGGCAGTCACTCTGTACAGTCATCTGGCAGACACCCTGTACAGTTATCTGGCAGTAACCCTGTACAGTCATCTGGCAGTCACCCTGTACAGTCATCTGGCAGTCACTCTGTACAGTCATCTGGCAGTCACTGTACAGTCATCTGACAGTCACCCTGTACAGTCATCTGGCAGTCACCCTGTACAGTCATCTGGCAGTCACCCTGTACAGTCATCTGGCAGTCACTCTGTACAGTAATCTGGCAGTCACTGTACAGTCATCTGGCAGTCACCCTGTACAGTCATCTGGCAGCCACCCTGTACAGTCATCTGGCAGTCACCATGTACAGTCATCTGGCAGTCACTCTGTACAGTCATCTGGCAGTCACTGTACAGTCATCTGGCAGTCACCCTGTACAGTCATCTGGCAGCCACCCTGTACAGTCATCTGGCAGTCACCCTGTACAGTCATCTGACAGTCACTCTGTACAGTCATCTGGCAGTCACTGTACAGTCATCTGGCAGTCACCCTGTACAGTCATCTGGCAGTCACCCTGTACAGTCATCTGGCAGTCACCCTGTACAGTCATCTGGCAGCCACCCTGTACAGTCATCTGACAGTCACCCTGTACAGTCATCTGACAGTCACTCTGTACAGTCATCTGGCAGTCACTGTACAGTCATCTGGCAGTCACCCTGTACAGTCATCTGGGAGTCACCCTGTACAGTCATCTGGCAGCCACCCTGTACAGTCATCTGACAGTCACCCTGTACAGTCATCTGACAGTCACTCTGTACAGTCATCTGGCAGTCACTGTACAGACATCTGACAGTCACCCTGTACAGTCATCTGGCAGTCACTCTGTACAGTCATCTGGCAGTCACCCTGTACAGTCATCTGGCAGTCACCCTGTACAGTCATCTGGCAGTCACCCTGTACAGTCATCTGGCAGTCACCCTGTACAGTCATCTGACAGTCACCCTGTACAGTCATCTGACAGTCACACTGTACAGTTATCTGGCAGTCACTGTACAGTCATCTGGCAGTCACCCTGTACAGTCATCTGGCAGTCACCCTGTACAGTCATCTGGCAGTCACCCTGTACAGTCATCTGACAGTCACTCTGTACAGTCATCTGGCAGTCACTGTACAGTCATCTGGAAGTCACCCTGTACAGTCATCTTGCAGTCACTGTACAGTCATCTGGCAGTCACTGTACAGTCATCTGGCAGTCACTCTGTACAGTCATCTGGCAGTCACTGTACAGTCATCTGGCAGCCACCCTGTACAGTCATCTGGCAGTCACTCTGTACAGTCATCTGGCAGTCACCCTGTACAGTCATCTGGCAGTCACTGTACAGTCATCTGGCAGTCACCCTGTACAGTCATCTGGCAGTCACTGTACAGTCATCTGACAGTCACCCTGTACAGTCATCTGGCAGTCACTGTACAGTCATCTGGCAGTCACCCTGTACAGTCATCTGGCAGTCACTGTACAGTCATCTGGCAGTCACCCTGTACAGTCATCTGACAGTCACCCTGTACAGTCATCTGACAGTCACTCTGTACAGTCATCTGACAGTCACCCTGTACAGTCATCTGGCAGTCACCCTGTACAGTCATCTGGCAGTCACCCTGTACAGTCATCTGGCAGTCACCCTGTACAGTTATCTGGCAGTCACTGTACAGTCATCTGGCAGTCACCCTGTACAGTCATCTGACAGTCACTATGTACAGTCATCTGGCAGTCACTGTACAGTCATCTGGCAGTCACCCTGTACAGTCATCTGACAGTCACCCTGTACAGTCATCTGACAGTCACCCTGTACAGTCATCTGGCAGTCACCCTGTACAGTCATCTGGCAGTCACCCTGTACAGTTATCTGGCAGTCACTGTACAGTCATCTGGCAGTCACCCTGTACAGTCATCTGACAGTCACTATGTACAGTCATCTGGCAGTCACTGTACAGTCATCTGGCAGTCACCCTGTACAGTCATCTGGCAGTCACCCTGTACAGTCATCTGGCAGTCACTCTGTACAGTCATCTGGCAGTCACCCTGTACAGTCATCTGGCAGTCACTGTACAGTCAATTGGCAGTCACTCTGTACAGTCATCTGGCAGTCACCCTGTACAGTTATCTGGCAGCCACCCTGTACAGTCATCTGGCAGCCACCCTGTACAGTCATCTGACAGTCACTGTTCAGTCACCTGGCAGTCACCCTGTACAGTCATCAGGTTGACACCTTTCCCTAGAGCCCACAAAGATGACAGTGTCAAGGTTTACACATTTCCGTCTCAGGGCCCCCAGTTTCATGGTTGCCACCCTACCTGTAGATACCAAGGAAGAAATAAAACATTACTTACATCCTTTAGGCAGGAGCCAGCTGAGATGGAAGATGTATGTGTCATTGATGAGATCCTGGCTATATGTCAAGTTCCTTGGCTTGTTGGGGAAGTCTTTCTCATTGACCGCTGCAAAATAGGAAGTGAGATGTCTCTGCAATAGGTTTCACTGACAATTTGGTGAAACCAATTAATTCAACATCATCAACAAGATCAAGCCAAAAAAAAGCAAAGAATGAAGGCGTCCTCACTTATATAAGAAGCCAACGAAACTAGAACACCCACTTTTCCGGGAACATTTAGCCTTAGAGCTGTAGTGGTCCATCCTGCACATCATCACGACTTCACAAGCTTGTAGACTCTACTTTCTTCCATTCTCCATGAAAACACAGAGCTGTTTAGTGGTGTGGTCTCTATTTGGTGACTCACCCTTGAAGCGACTGCCTCGTTCCAGGGAAAGGGAAGCCAGCAAATGCTCACACCAATCAGCACTCAGGTTACATCTCACAAATGGTAATGGTCCTTGTTTGAGAATTTATATAACATGAGCCATAACCTTGTGGCCGTCTGCTGTAAGTATTGCCTCAATGTCAGACAGTGGGAGGGTTTGTGAACAATCTTCAAGCACTAGTAAAATTCATTTGACGTCCATGAGACATATAAACAGAATAATTTGAATACCTGATGAAAATAGACATGCTTGACTCCTACAATGCATGACAGCCATATGTATTCAATAGGATATAGGATCATTGTGTCACATACCTGTCAGGCAGTGTTTAAAAAAATAACCAGGCTGCCATCAGTCCCACAGACTTCAGAAGCTGCAGTCCCTGACTAAATTCTTCAGGCCCTCATTTAAAAAAACTGCAGCTTATTCTGACAAATTAATCGACACGTAAATTTTCCTGCAGACCATAAAGACCCATACCACTTTGAAATAACATGCCTACGCAGATCTACCTGCCATGGGCCTACAGGCAAGTGCTTATTTCAGGTAGTGACAATGCAAAATGCACTATATGTTGTATCTTGTAGTGACTGTTTGGAAAACCCCTCAAAGGTGTCAGTCCCTTTATATTGTTTGAGAGCCTTACCCAATGTTGGGGTAACCAAGTCATAACATTGTTACCCATCTTAGTGAAAGAAACCTGGGCCTAGATTTTCAAAACTATTGTAGCCCTAAAATTATCGTAAAGTTATCGTAAGGAAATCGTAGGCTATCGTAGCCTATTTTCGAAAACTATCGTAGCCCTGAGATATCTTAAGTTTGTCATAAATCTAAGATAGCCCCATACCTGTCGTAAGTTTAATTTATCTTCATCCAAGATGGCGGTATACTTTGCCATAGATATTTTGCCAAACAATAAGTCTGCTTTACACTCAAACATTGACATTTCATTTTGTAAAACTGTGTGATTCAAACTGACACTTCGAAAACATGAAGAATGCATCAAAGATTTCAAGTCAGACATGTTCTTAATCGCGACAGCGATCTACCTAACTATGGAGTAGATAGCTTACAATACATTTCTATCCGAGTCCATGCTGAAGAAACAACATACCTTTTCGATAATTTAGGAAGGATAAAAACGGAAGGGGTCGGCAAGCTATAGTAATGACCGCGACCTTATTGATAACTCAGAGGCAGCTAATCTTAGTTCATACTCTAACTGAGAGTGGTTTCCCTTTATATTCGACCGGCTATACACAGTTATATTTTCTGGATCATATTTGCAACAATCCTTTAGTCTTTATTTTCGCATTTTATTAAATTATATCAATCTACATGTGTGATGAAGTGCAAAACCATAAGAGTTTCTCATCAGGTTTTACATCTGAAATGGTGTGGGACGAGCGGTTTTAACAATTGAATATTAAGTACAGTGTAGTATTTATTGATTTAACAAGGAAATACATGTGACAGAATATTTGTGTAGTATATTCATATGAAGAATATATTAAATATTTTTCTGGAAAAAGTAATTGTATTTTGTTTCCTTTTAAAAACAACACATAGGCTATCTATGTTATTGAAAGACAAATATTGAAGTGATTAAATATTGTCTGTTGAACAACTGCAACGGGAGATTAACGGCATAGATATATTCCATTACATATAGCAATTTTTTAAAGTTTTGACAGCAAAAGTTACGCACAAATTTTCCTTTCGTATTTTCAAGAATGGCGATTTGTAAAATCAAATAAAAAATGGGTTCCCATGCTTATTTGAGTTTAAAATGTCATAGAAAGTGGCACATTTTCCAAAATTCATTTTCCAATATATTTTCGTAGAAAACATTTATTGAATTAACCACATTGAATTAATGTTTTCCGGAATGGTTGCTGTTGAAGGCCTTCCTGGACGCAGGTCATCATCAAGGCTCTCTCTGCCACGCTTGAATTCCACAGCCCACTTCTTTACAGTGGAAAAGGAAGGGGCATCATCCCCCATGTCAGCATGTATCTGTGTTTGAGTTAGCCCTTTCAGTGGCAGGTACTTGATGACTGCCCTATAGCCAGTTTTGTCCATTTCTGGTGATTTCAATGGGTAGGTTCACAAGTTGGTCTGGTACAAAGACAATAATAACACTACAGTTGCAGTTCTTATGTCTATGATTCATTAAATGATTGTACTTGTTGGTGGCAAAAGTTTGTTTCAATCCGATTGAGATATCCCCTTTAGGCTTAGAACTTTTCAGCCAGCCCTCGTATGTATGTTCACGTCAACATGTGGCATGTTCCATGAGACAACTTGACAATTCCTAAATTGTCTCCCTTTGAACAAAAATTAGTGTCACTTTCAAATTTTGAAAAAAATTAATGATCCAGACAGATAAAAAAATATAATTATATCATCTAAATAAAAATAGCTTTATATTGTATTTCAGTCCTTTGTTTATTTGTGAAATATATTGGATGTATAAATAACAATACAAACTAAACAAGCTTTCATAGGCATTTGTTGTAACACAACACTTATTGATTATAACATTTATTGAGTTTGAAAAATGCCTTTGCATTGAACATGAAGGCTATTTGTGTTCGGGATGTCATTGGCATCTTTTTATCATAAGAACAAAACGTCTACATGTAGGACATATGTAGGATTGTACAGTATGTCACTCAAACAGTTGCGTGTAAAACAGTGTGACCTAAAATATGATCATGAATTCCATGTCACTTCTCCATGTTGTTATTGCTTGCGGCTTAGAAATCCCCGTGACATCATAGGGAAACACCCCGCATTTTCAATCTATAACACAAATGAGTTATCTGTCAGAGTTACTATAGGTAGTGTAGCTTTGAACGATCTGCGACAGGTTTACGATAGTTTCTAAAATCTATCTTATCTTAACCTTAAGATATCTTATCTTTGAATGTAAGTTGTTAAGATTTATCTTAGCAAGATCATTTCGCAAATTTAGGCCCTGTTCCATGTGACAAGAACTGTGATTGGCATATCTCGTTCAAGCTCTCTAATCTGTGAATGTTTGCTAGTTTGTTTGTTGTTTAACGTCGCTGATGCGCCTGTCCAATGAAGCTGTACTTCCCACTGTTATTCTCTACCTGTTTACCAGATACTAATTACAACACTGATGCACCTGTCACATGAAGCTGTACTTCCCACTGTGTTTCTCTACCTGTTTACCAGGAGCTAATTACAACACTGATGCACCTGTCACATGAAACTGTACTACCCACTGTGTTTCTCTACCTGTTTACCAGGTACTAATTACAACACTGATGCACCTGTCACATGAACCTGTATTATCCACTGTGTTTCTCTACCTGTTTACCAGGTACTAATTACAACACTGATGCACCTGTCACATGAACCTGTATTATCCACTGTGTTTCTCTACCTGTTTACCAGATACTCATTACAACACTGATGCACCTGTCACATGAAACTGTACTACCCACTGTGTTTCTCTACCTGTTTACCAGGTACTAATTACAAGACTGATGCACCTGTCACATGAAGCTGTTTTACCCACTGTGTTTCTCTACCTGTTTACCAGGTACTAATTACAACACTGATGCACCTGTCACATGAAGCTTTATTTCCCACGTGGATACAGGTGGTTAGATACTAAATCCGTACGTCACACGTGTGTAGAACAAGGTTGACCTTGTTTTATTCGTTTTGGTTGGATAACCGTGACCTCTGTCACACCGGGACTTTTTTTTTTCATTCATAAAAAATCGCGAGACATCATTCATTTTGAAACTACAAGGCAGAACTGAAGCAATCTCATGTGAGCATGGGATATTAACCCTTTCGCCCCGACTGCCCGATTTATCGGGCAGCATAAACCGTGTCCCAGTACCCGGCTGCACGAAAAATCGGGCAGCTATTGTCCAAGTCCCACACACGGCTGCCCGATAAATCGGGCGGCACGAACGTGTTTACAAAATCGCTCTTTCTACTTCCTTTCTCATGTGTAATCTCGTTCTAAATATGGAATTGAGATCTACACGTAATGACACGTCATTTCGATGGAATTTCCCAGTCTTTTTGGCGCGAAAATCGCGGATATGTCACCTGTTTTCGCGACAGGTATTTTTCTCGCTTGAATCGTAAATCTAGCGTAATGGCGGCCAACTACGATTCGGATAGCGATCAGATGACTAACAACGACTCTATCGGTAATAATAATGGGTTTGATTTGAATAATTTACACGAAGGGGAGGGGGAATTTCGCGAAGATTTTGGTGAAGATTTTGACGGTTTTGACGAGGTGCCCCCCCCCCCGCCAACTTTCAAGAATGGGAGTGGCAGAGGGACCACAACGGTGGAGACATGAGGGATTTTGAAGAGGCGACCGGACTCAAGAATATATATTGACACGGTGAGTTAAGTATCGTGCTATTGATTTTTTCCAACTGTTTTACAATGATTCTGTGTTTGAACAGATTATCAGTGCGACGAATGAGAATGCAGCCTACAGGTGAACGAGCGATCACAACAACAACAAAGGTGAGTGGCATGACGTATCTCTTTCTTTTTTTTTAAATTTAATTTTCTGATCGCAATCCGATTTGTAGTTTGCCGGTTTGTCGTATGCCCTCATATTTCGCTTAATTTGAATAAAATTTATTTCCATGATCATGTTTGTTTTCTTGATTTTTACATCTTAATTAAAATTTTAGTAACTGTCATAATTATTTATTTATTAATTGATGTAATAAAGTACTGATTTAATTTATTATGCAATTGTAAATAGCATTGTATTGTAAATATGTTATCACAACTTGTATATTTGCAGAACTTGAATTTACGATCTTTCCGTCCTTTTACAATCTTTCCCTCCTTTCAGATCAATCTGTGATATCTTCTCTGTGATTTCATTCTTATAGTAGCTGTGGTTCAATGTTCAGGTAATGTGATAAATTACTATTTAAAAACTTAAATACTTAATTTTTGTTTCAAATCCTGAAAAAGAACAAAATAAATCAAATATTTGTGTTTTTACCTGTGTTAACGAGTTTACCTGCGTTAACAAGTTTACCTGTGTTAACGAGTTTACCTAAGAGGCTGTAAGTGTATCATAAGTAATATGTGACATCAGTATAGGAAACAAAGTCAGTACCAAGAGTTGTAAACTTAGCTTGTTTATTTGTTTACAGATGTGCATGAAGAGAATTTACCTGTAACACCTGGGATTACCTGTGCCGTCCAAGATGACAAGACCACTGTGTTATGTTTACCTTGTATCTGTGATTTATTTTTGTGATTTTTAATACAATTTGAGCCAAAATTCATTGTCTGTTTTCATTTTTTCAGTGTTTTCAAGTTTTATTTCACTTGTAAACACCTGTAATTAGAAAATAACAAAGATTAGAGACAATATCAACAAAGAATATTACAGTATACTTAATCCTCTTTACAATGGTATATGAAAAATGTATATTAAAAGCAAGTTTCTGGTAGAAAAAGTGCATCAAAAATGATAGTGTGATTTTCCAATAATACTGCCAGGGAGGCCAGTGTGCAGGCCTTGTCAGTGTCAGGGACTGCAGGGTTTCAAGGGACATAACTCTGGGGCAGCCAGGGATGAAAGAGTTAACAAACACTTTATTAAACCAAACAAGATAGTCACATGCATCAAATTCTGTTTGCATCCTATATAAGTTATGCATTGAGCTTCCACAGACATTATATAATTGAGCGATATCCATTTACAATGTTCGACTACCGTTCAATAGATCAAGGGTCCACATGAGCATGACGCACCCGACTACTTTCACAACTTCCAATTTGATTTTCCGGTAACGTAAAAGGATAAGCGTGGTGAAATGAAGTCAGTTTAATCTATCTGGACAGATATCTAGACTTACTTAGGATGATCCGGTTGTGCCATCAGTGTCCTCTTCGAAGGGTATTTTGTGGCACTGTTTCGGGAGTTGTTTGTTCACGACTGCACGACCAGATCACTCAAAGTGAACATTTCTGATACAAATCATTCGAAAGCTCCGTAGAAGTGTGCCTGATTTCTGATTATGTGGCCCAAAATATCCCAAAGGTGAACAATAACATTCCCTATCTCTAGCGTAAAACGCTGAGTAGATCACGGTTGTTTTTTCTTATTCTGGTGGTTACCTTGCCCTTCGTTCGAAACTGTCACTGAATGCAAGCAGACTTAGCGTGTTGATTTTCACATCTTCAATAAAGGGTGGTACAGTAAACATGAATGTCTTTGGCGAACACTCTGATTTCCCTCTTCCAAAATGGTACGGACATGAGATAAATTCAAATGATAGATCAAGGAAACCGAACCATCTTGAATGCACAGACCCCGGCAGTCAAGTGACCGACTGTTGGTCCGATATTCAAAGTGCGGCGCTAATGTGACTTTTCAAATTTTCCTATAGGTGTCCTGCGTATTAACAACATGGCGCTTGAATTCTCATAAGTTGAAGAAATTCTTCCAAAAGGATCTTGAGCGTCGGTGCTGTTATGTTTGCAAACACAACTGCAGGCCCATGTTGTTAATGCATATGCATAGGAATGTAAACAATGCCCATATTTGGGCATATATCAATATTCATGCGCAACCAGATTTTGCAACCAGTTTAAGTTTGGTCTGTCAACGAACAAAAGTTGTTATGTATTTACACTTACATACATATTTAACGTGGGTAATAAATAAAATACCACACTCATTCTCGTTAGATACCATTTTTACGTAACTCGTGAACTTTCTATGTTATCTGACCTTGCTCTTGCTCGGTCAGATACCATAGAAAGTCCACTCGTTGCATAAAAATGGTATCTAACGAGAATGAGTGTAGTATTCTCTATGTACTACCCACTGTGTTTCTCTACCTGTTTACCGGGTACTAATTACAACACTGATGCACCTGCCACATGAAGCTGTATTAGCATAGCGGATTCATACAAAAGTTTGCACATCGGTTTTTTCGATTCATCCCTCAAAGAACTGCAAAAAATACACAGTCAATGCTTAACACAATTGTTATGTTATTGTTATGTTACTGTGGGTTCTGTTGGCTCTTGCTACTCACATGGCTTCAGGCAGTGGTATGACAGCTGCTTCACCACACAGGGAACCGCCCTCTGAAACACAAAACATCAACCTTTTCAAGATATACTGTACTTCCTCTCCACTGACATTCATGGTAAACAGTGTGTACATCCATCCTTGAACACAATAGTTTAAAGTGGATGCAACAATCCTAGAACACAAATGCAATTATTTATATAAGTGTACATGATGCTTGTAACTACAGGGGCATAACTCTTCCATCGTGTCAAGCTTAACTCTTAGAGAAACAAATTTGAAGTTGAATTGAAAAATACACATTCAGTAACATCCGATCCTTCCCCAATGTTTTACAATTTGGTTTCAGAAAAGAACAACGAGCAATCATGTCTGTATTCACCATTTTAGAATGTGTTAATTCTTACCTAGAAAGAGAATTGCAAGTGTTTGCTGCATTTTAAGATGATGAAAGGGCTTTTGAACATACTTTGCACAATGGCCTATTTGTCAAATTACATGACCTTGGTGTCAAGGGCAAAGTATGAACCTACTTTTCCAGAGGTATACAGACAGCTGGGCTTTTACAGCATACAACGGAGAAAGATCTGATGAGTTTCCCATTGGACAAGTGTTGGGCATAAATAAATCTACAAACTTTTATGGATGTGAATTGTTACCAGCCTTATACGGTAAAGAACTTGAAATGGTTGAATGTACACAACGCTACTTTGCTGACTATATCCAACAGCTAGCGACAATGTAGTCTTTCTCACAGTCCCTGAACCATATTATTTTTCCTTCCGTCCAGCTCTTTCTGTAAAGCAAAAGCCTTAAATGAAGGAAGTCTACATTTTCCTCAATCTCCCATCTCACTGGGGCTCCTTTTCAATTGAAATGGAGTCTTTTGTCTGTATCAAACTTATAAATTTTCAGAGATAAAGCAGTAGTATGGTGACAATGCTGGTAACTGACATTTCAAAAATCAACAGATGTTACTGTATAGTCAGTCATCACCCTTGTCATGGGATCATTGTGCTCTCGCTACTGCAAGTGTTGTATGAATTCTCTAATATGTATTATTCTCCCAAAGCTTCTCATCAGAAACACTATGAGGGCTATATACATGATATACATGTCAATGAAATTAGAAAAAAACATAAAATATAAAACATTCCCAAAACATAAGTGTGCAGTTGTGTCTACTTGATTGATTTAAGTGATGAAATACAAATGGCTGATGAGTTATGCCCTCCGTTGTACAAAGCGATCTTAGCACCAAGGTGATCATACCTCCCATACCTTAACATAGACTTACATCAGTCATAGCGCTGAGGTTGTTTTGTACAGTGGCACACTGGGAACTTAAGAATAAAAAGTTTCCCAAATTCCTAAATAGCATAAGACACCATGCAGTTAGTTAGACTGCATCCTCTGTATCACCAGGACTCCCATTTGGGTAAACCTATACTAAACCCTGGTCCCATTCCAGCTGTTCTTGCAATCTCAAATTACCTGCCCTTCATTTTCATTAGCAAATTTGATAAGCTACGCTACTAAGTCTAATGTACCAATCAGAATGCGAGTTACATAAACCAGCCTCAATGTTGGGTTGGCGATATCAAAAACATGGTGGACAGTCCTATTGATTATGATAGAGCATGAGAGAAATTCAACATTGAAAAGTTGACTGTCACACAAAAGAAAGTCCTCAAAAAGCTTTTTGATGAAAAAGATGTCTTCATGTACATTTAAGCTGGCAGTGGCTTTTAGTTTTTACACGATTACGAGTCTACGAGTTAAGGAAAATCAAGGGCAGGTTATTTAAGATCGCGTAAACCTTGTGAATGGATCCAGGTGTTAGTGTATGTTTACCTAAAAATGAGAGCCCTGGGGATATAGAGGATGGCTAGACTGCTATGTATACACAATTTGACCCAACTTTGCAAATGTCAAATCAAGGTCAAACTTTAAAATATTGTAAGAAAATGTAACTGACTACTCACTAAACAAATGTCATCACACTGTGAAAGAACATGGCCGACTTATGGCCAAAAGATAGGTTTAACCTCATGTCCAATCTCGGTGCCATCATTGGTGGGTTTAACAAGCATGTGAAGCATCTGAGGAGATGATATTTACAAAGGAGACGCGAGCTAAGAATGGGCAAAACTGACACCATGGCTACCATATTGAGCCAACTAATGAGTGAATGTTGTTTCATGTTGATTCTGCAATTTAAGCTAAACCATGACAGCCTGTAAATGGTCTGGACAAGGGTGCTGTGCACTGCATGAGCAGTGAACCAAGGTATGATGACACTCATTCAGGATTCATATTGCAACCACTGAACTCTCATTCTAATAGTCGACAACTACCACAAATATGTGGGATGCCAAAAAATAGCTGTCAGCATTGATTTAAAAAAAATTTAATGCAGATTTATACTTAGAACTAAAAATATACACTAAAATCTAATGATAAAAACATAATAGGATGTCATCACAAATGTTTGTTTGTTGTTTAATACCACTATCAGCAATATTCCAGTTATGTGACGGCAGTCTGTAAATAATCGAGTCTGGACCAGACAATCCAGTTATTGACAACATAAGCATCGATTATTATCTATGCAATTGGGACCCGATAACCAAGACAGCGAGCCTGACCACCCAATCCCATTAGTCGCCTTTTACGGCAAGCATGGGTTACCGCAAGCACGGTTTATCGTCACAATGAGAAACATACATGCCAAAGTTCAGCTTCCTCAGTCTGGCAATATCAAAGAAGAAAACACTTTTTGAGAGAACCTAAGACTATATTTTGCCTTTTATTCCATGTGATGTGGTATAATTCATTATCAGTACTCATTACAGTGAGAGTGTATGGTTTTATGCTTCCACCAATATCACGGCAGATGACACCTGTGAGAAATGGGCTTCACAAACAGTATTCATATTGGGACTCAGACCAGGGTCTTCGGCATGATGAGTGAAAGCTTTAACAAAAAGTACTCATTAAATCTCGTTATCTGATTGGTCAGTTGCTGGCCATCAATTCAGATGGTCAACCTGAACTTCTGTCTTGCATGTAACATCCTGTACACACCTGACTACTGATACATCACTCACATATACTTGTTACATCCTGTACACCCCACGACTGATACATCACTCACATATACTTGTAACATCCTGTACACACCTGACTACTGATACATCACTCACATATACTTGTAACATCCTGTACATCCCACGACTGATACATCACTCACATATACTTGTAACATCCTGTACACACCTGACTACTGATACATCACTCACATATACTTGTAACATCCTGTACACCCCCCGACTGATACATCACTCACATATACTTGTAACATCCTGTACACCCCCCGAGTGATACATCACTCACATATACTTGTAACATCCTGTACATCCCACGACTGATACATCACTCACATATACTTGTAACATCCTGTACACCCCACGACTGATTCATCACTCACATATACTTGTAACATCCTGTAAACCCCCCGACTGATACATCACTCACATATACTTGTTACATCCTGTACACCCCCCGACTGATTCATCACTCATATATACTTGTAACATCCTGTACATCCCACGACTGATACATCACTCACATATACTTGTAACATCCTGTACACACCTGACTACTGATACATCACTCACATATACTTGTTACATCCTGTACACCCCACGACTGATACATCACTCACATATACTTGTAACATCCTGTACACCCCACGACTGATACATCACTCACATATACTTGTAACATCCTGTACACACCTGACTACTGATACATCACTGACACATATGCTTGTAACATCCTGTACATCCCACGACTGATACATCACTCACATATACTTGTAACATCCTGTACACACCTGACTACTGATACATCACTGACACATATACTTGTTACATCCTGTACACCCCATGACTGATACATCACTCACATATACTTGTTACAATTCCTGTACACCCCACGACTGATACATCACTCACATATACTTGTAACATCCTGTACATCCCACGACTGATACATCACTCACATATACTTGTAACATCCTGTACACACCTGACTACTGATACATCACTCACATATACTTGTAACATCCTGTACACCCAACAACTGATACATCACTCACATATACTTGTAACATCCTGTACATCCCACGACTGATACATCACCCACATATACTTGTAACATCCTGTACACCCCACGACTGATACATCACTCACATATACTTGTAACATCCTGTACACACCTGACTACTGATACATCACTCACATATACTTGTAACATCCTGTACACACCTGACTACTGATACATCACTCACATATACTTGTAACATCCTGTACACACCTGACTACTGATACATCACTCACATATACTTGTAACATCCTGTACACACCTGACTACTGATACATCACTCACATATACTTGTAACATCCTGTACACACCTGACTACTGATACATCACTCACATATACTTGTAACATCCTGTACATCCCACGACTGATACATCACTGACACATATACTTGTAACATCCTGTACACCCCCCGACTGATTCATCACTCATATATACTTGTAACATCCTGTACACCCCACGACTGATACATCACTCACATATACTTGTAACATCCTGTACACACCTGACTACTGAAACATCACTCACATATACTTGTAACATCCTGTACACCCAACAACTGATACATCACTCACATATACTTGTAACATCCTGTACACCCCACGACTGATACATCACTCACATATACTTGTAACATCCTGTACACACCTGACTACTGATACATCACTCACATATCCTTGTAACATCCTGAACACCCCACGACTGATACATCACTCACATATACTTGTTACATCCTGTACACACCTGACTACTGATACATCACTCACATATCCTTGTAACATCCTGAACACCCCACGACTGATACATCACTCACATATACTTGTAACATCCTGTACATCCCACGACTGATACATCACTCACATATACTTGTAACATCCTGTACATCCCACG